TAAGTAGATGCCTCTGCATCTATTTAAGCAAATATCAAGGTTCTATCTCAAGTTATGATCTACTTTGCAGCCACAAGAAGTGGATAACTACTTCATCCTAAGCTACATTGAAAAGATTGTTAGCACTGCATCAGCTACCTCGTTTAATCCTAACTTGAATAATTCTATACCACTTTGAAATCACTTTTGTAAGACTTTGTTCAAGCCAGGACTGAACTGTATAAGAACTACAAATAGGGTTTGTTTTTGTTTTTGTTTTTTTTTTCCTTTTAACGATCACTAGGGGAGCATTTGAGTGTGGAAAGCCAACATGGAGTTGTCAAGACCAACCAAAGAACTTGCATACAGCAGCAGTTTGGACACTCTTTTCAGTTTCTCCATCCATGCGTGTGCCATAAATTCTTACAATACAATAAGAAAAAATAAAGACGTAGATAAAATAAAGATAGATATTTAACGTGGGCACATTGTAAAAAGAAATAATGTACAAGACCATTATGTAAAGGAAACAATTATATGAGTTTAACTTATTTAAGTAGTAGTGGTTTCCCAATCTGAAATGCTGTTTCTAGACTACAGCATAAATAACTAGTTAACAGTGTTGACTGTATAATGAAAAGTAAAACTTTAACATACTTAAGCATTCTGGTTATTCTGTCAAATGAGAATATAGCAGCACTTCCTAGCTTTACAGGATATTGTAAAGACAAATACTTAAAAAATTAAGACATGCAAATAGTTATGTGACAGAGGTGCCCTAAATACTTAGCAATATATTACTTGTTGAGAACAATGATTTTGTAGTAGCTCAGCAAAATATGGTTCTGCTCTGTCTCAATAGCCAGCCAAACGAATGTTCTCTGCACTGGGGAATCTTCCTTAGCTACAACTCCTTTTTCTAAAATTTTACAAAGGTGACTTAAGAAAATGCACTTCCCCTCATTCTGGGAGCACGCAAACAAAGAGCACATGCTCAGCTATGGCAGCTCAGCTGCCAAGCAACAACTTGTTAACTTGCCATAACTCAATCATGTTCAATTGTTTGCCTGCAGCCTCAGGCTACAGACAGACATTTGGTCTGCTAACAACTGCACCAGATGAAGACATTACTATCCCAAGCTATTTGTTATCACACATCTGCTAGAGATTATCATCTCCACAGCTCTGCTGGGGGAAGAAATCATGTGAGCACTCCCTAAAATGGTTTGTACAAACCCAGCCAATTTAATTTAAATAGGTGAGTTGAGCTAACCAGGCTGGTTTTGCCCAAAGCGTATTAAAAAAATAAAAACAAAAACCCTACTCTACTGGCAAAAGACTAGCATAAAACAAGGAGCTGGGAGAATTAACACCTTCAAGCAGTGTAGTGGGATTTGGGAGGAAATAGTTCCTGTCCTCATGCAAAGAGATAATATAAACATAACTTTTTCAAGGCTATGTAGGAGGAATAAACACACAGCTTTAAACCAGAGATACGTAGCACTGTTTATATAATTTCAGTAATCAGTGACAGAAGAGTTTACTTATAAAGGTGACATAAATAAATACGTGTATTACAAATACACAAATACAGAAGATCACATGTTGAATTGTATCAGAATCATTTAAGTTATCCAGTACCTATGTTTTGTAGTGCAGAACTATCCCTTCCTAACATTTTGTTACTCAATACCTTTATTAACAGTTCTCAACAGTAATCCTTTGGAAGGAAGATCCTTCCAATAATAAAGCTTGCTATTAATTTGCATAAGATTAGCTTACATGTATTGATTTTGACAAAAGGAACCTAATACAAGCAATCTGCTATGGTAAATCTTACCCAGAAAGTATAAGCAATACTCCTCTATGGATAGAAAGTTTCAAACCACTGCAGTGTTTAGAACTCCACACCCTTCTCATGTATTTACCCAGTAAATTATTCCACAAGTCACCAATCTAACATAATGCAGGCCTTTACATCTGTCTACTTGCTGAGACAAGTGTGTTCAGTCACCCAAAAGGGGTAAGGAACAATCCAAGCAAGCAGCAAAAACATGCGTGTATACAACTGTCTTATATACATATAAAAAAAAAGAGTAAATGTTTTCAAGAATAGAAATAAAAAGATAAAGTCCACCACTAAAAATACAGTTGCATGAAAACTATATAAAGAAATAGATGGAGAAATTAAATCTTGCAGTACTGTTGTTAGTCTACCACCACATTCAACAGCTGAACAGCAATACAGTTTAAAGTTACAATACTTACTTGTGTACTCATCCAAATTACATTCAATGCATCAATTAGTTTAAATAATCTAAAATACGAACTAATTATGTGTCAGTTTTAGAATGCTTCAGACTCTCAGGTGTGAGTAAACACCCGCTTTTAGCAAAAGAATGCAGATAACTGCATATGAACAGAGAACAGTACAATCAAACATTCACTTCAAGGATACTTAATTCTGAAAGGCTCTAAAATTTGTTCTGGTATTATCTGTTGGCACTTACATCTTGTAGTGGTGGTTTTTTTTTTGTTATTTTCATACCTGTTGTTTTTGTTTTATTCTTTGTTTTCTGTTCTAAAGCATCTGTGCATACACAAATGACGGATTTCTATTTTAATATTCCACATAATGAAATTGCATATTTATAATAAGGCTAGATCACTGTACATAATATGTGCTATTAAAATAGTAACTTTTATAAGCACTTTGTTAAGTAAAAATGTTTTGTCTGTATTGAGTGATGAAAGTAAGTTTAATCCTTACAGTAGAAACAACAATTTGAGTTTTAACACAGGCAATCTTCAATATTAACCTTAAATAAATCTTACATTTCTTAGAATCATAGAATGCCTTGGGTTTGAATGAACCTTAAAGATCGTCTATTTCCAACTCTCAGCCATGGGCAGGGTTACCACCAACATCACATGACACTATGAATTTAATTTATAATAGAAGATCAGACAAACAGTCATGAATTGAATGAGGGTAGATACTATGAAAATACGATGACATCAAATATGTATTTGTCACATGCTGTTCCTATATATGTGAAGAAAAATCTATTTTGATGAGAACTGCTTTTGATAAAAAAAGTGCAATGTTACAATAAAGAACACTAAAATTTGTAGGAAGAAAGTAGTCCCCAGAACATTACTGGCCTAACAGAAAAAAGGCCTGCACATAGTGCAAATCAAATTCTTATTTGCAACAGTTAAGCTGCGGCAAGCCTGTTAAAATTTGTTCAAAGTACAGCTTACAAATACTTACTTGATATTCTTAGAATTGTCAGATTGTAAAAAAAAAATAAATAAATAATATCTACCATAGAAGTCCAAGAACTTATTTTCCATTCATTCTTAAGAACTGACAATGAAGGTTCTGCACTAGGCAGAGAAAACTTCCTCTTTTTTTTGCAAAACCACAAATAATTATTCTGAAATAACCCAATGACAACCCAGCACACGATCTCGCTATTTTTAAACATACTATAGAACCAGGGTATGTTATCATACTATTTCTATTTGCAGTAATAGTTTATGTAAGTCTTAGTTTAATAATACTCCACATATTTTAGAGAAAACAACAGTCTTCAGACCTGCACTGCTTTTACGCAATCCTGCCAAGTATTTGAAAATACAGTCTATCAACCTATTGCTGATTTGGACATGAAGAGGTTGAAGACCACTCCTTGTATTTAATGGCATTTAAAAAAAGTAAAAAAGTTACCTACAGAAGTGACTAGAATAGATCAATCATTTTGAGAGAACTTCACTGACCAGAAAAAAATAAACGTGAAAGTTAGATTCTGAATTCCTCAGACACTGTTCCAGGGTGCTAGGGCATAAAAATGGTCATTAAAGGACTTCAAATATAATCTGCTTCTTAACATCCACTTACTCTCAGTTTCATGTAAACAGCTTAATAGTGTATACTTATTATGAAAATTCTTATCTAACGTGGATTCAAACTAATACAATGTGATAAAAATATTTGCTAGAAAATGTATACAAAACTTTTTAGATATCTTTGCTCAAAAAGTAAAAGGTGAAATAGGCAAAGCCATCATTTCTGACGATGAATGACCAGCATTTGCTTGACCAGCATTTTAAATATTGTCTAAGCAAAGTTTGATACAATCACATAGATTCATGTTTAGTATGCATATTTTTGAAGGAAGTATTGATCTCACTTTCCAGTTATTCATCAAAGCAATTATTTAATAATGTGAAAAACTTGTTTCAGGATGATCACGTATGTACTACAACATAAATGCTTGAAAGACAGGTGTATTGTCTCACACAAACCCACAGTATTTTACAGTGATACAAATCCATGATAACTTTTAAAAATAATTTCAGGACATGATGTTTACACAACAACATTACAATTCTGAAAAGTACTGTGTACTTTCCCATAGTTTCTCAGTTTTGAAAAAATAATAGTTACAAGAATTCTTTTGTCAGACCAGATTGATTCAGCACGTAATTTACACAAAAACCCCTCTAGGAACAGACTTCTAGACTAAGGCCCATCAGTTCAGTATTTAAAGTGTTATTTTGAGGGGGAGGAAACAAGCTGGAGGATAGACCTAGATATGTATGATTAGTTTTCACACTGAGACTCTTGTTGTTGAAACATGACTTAAGAACAATTGAACTGTTAAGGTATTTATGTTGACTTCTTGATTTCAAAAGTTTGCATGCATAATCGTTATTTCATACATTATCAACAATTAACTTAGATGCCAGAAGCATAAACCTTGCTTCGGTATCCATTTAATTCTCATGTTTATTAAAGAGATTGAGTTTATTAAGTGTAGTTGGATACAGAAACCGATAAAGTCTGTGCCAGCAAAGATTAGGTTATACAAAAGAGACTGTTTAAAGTAAATCACAAGCACAGAAAAACAATGAAAATACCCCAAGATATATATAAAATTTATATTAAAAATTGAGAATTAATAAATCAACAACTGCATTAACAGTTGTAAAGATGGCTGTTAACCCAAACTTACCTACTAGCTGTTTTTACAGAGCTGTTCTTCTTGTGTCCTCTGTCCGACCGGTTGTCTCGCAAGAGCTGAAGATATTCAGAAAATTGCTCAGAATAGTTTGACATGCAATGACTCTCTTGTCTTTTAGAAATGTTATTCTTTCCTGACTTTTGAGTAATCCTTCAATAATGTTTTCACCCTGGAGTCTGAAACTGATGGATGCCTAATAACATTTTATGGTAATAACTAAGAGTGCAAGATATATTCACAAACACACTCCTTATTATAAATTCCCAGTTAATTGAAAATGAAAAAATAAACATTCTAAAGGCACATTACAAAGCCAGTCACAGTGTTACATTTTACTTATCTCTAGACGTTTTCACAAGTTCCATACTTTCCATTTTTAAATTTTAAAATCAAAAGTGTTGGGGAGACTTAAATTATGAAAAAAATATATTCAGGTTGGTGCTTGTAGCTAAGCAAGTACGAAGCAGTTATAAATTTCTCTAAGCCCCAGGAGTTTTGTGGTTTTTTTTTGTTTTTTTTGTTTTTTTTTGTATAATTTGAAAGCTGCAGAAGCAACAAAAACACATTATTAAAGCTTCACACAATAGTGGTGAAGCAGGGATAATGAAAGAGCTACTTAACTCTAGTAATTGTCTCAAGTTCTGGAACAAGCTTTGATTAACTCCTTTTTAGACAAACAACAGAAGACTTTTCGTTAGGATCATCTCCAAAGTTAAGAATTATATTTTCAGCATTTTGGTATTTGTCAAGATGGGTAAAGTGGCAGTTAATAGCAAAGAAATGCTGTTAAAAAGTTGTAGTAGTGAAGCCGAAACTCAACAGTATGTAAAAAATAGAAACATTTTTTAGAGCTAGTCATATATTGAATAAAGTATAGAATGAACTTAAAAGTCCACTGGAAATACTTGAATATTATGACTTGGTGAACTATACCTTCATCCTGTGTATGAGCATGAACTCAAAAAAATTACACCTACCTAAAAATTATGCTTAATTTTTCCCTAAATTTTTATTGCTTGCTTCTTACATGAAGACTGCTCCTTGTCATTTCAGTTATTAAATTTTCACATGCAGTGAATAAGCGTGCTTTTAATTTTAAAAGGCAATCAAAGGATGTGTAAAGAGATCTTATTCTGATACATTATTGCAAGTTAGTTTTTCCTTCCATTTTCTTAAGGTCAGCAAATCAGAGCACTTGCAAATCGCATTTAAATATGGCCACAATTCTTACCAGTATCATTATTATATAGTGTGTATTTATCTCATGATGAGATAAAGACAACATTTTTATCATTATCAATACTCAGGCTGAAAAGTAAACTGAAATCATATCTTATGAAAATACAGATCACCAGACAGATTTCAATTACCTTTTCTATTACCTATTTTCTACTGTAACAATTTTAATTTCAGGAATTAAACTAGAAAGTATTTAGCCTGCATAACCTATAGTTATACAGCATGGATCTTCACAACTTCAGCGATAATTCTATAGACTCTCTCATTTCTTAAACTGGTCAAAAAATGCCAACAAAAAAACCCAACAAAACCAAACATGATACCCCAGAAGCATGTCTTACTTGACACTAGCTTAACTTCAGAATTCATTAATAGTCTTAGTTGAGAACAGAGTGAATTTAAGATAATCTCTGAAACTGCAGCCCTTAGGAAATGCAAAATAAACGTGTAGAATTTAAAATTAATTCATAGCTACTGTTATCCGAAAAAAGATTATACTCTGAGACAACCAATATATTAAAAAAACACTCAAAAATAATTACACAAATTCATTTTAATCTAGTAAATTTTGCTACTTATAGCATCAAAATTTCAGGAATAGGACAAGGATACCCCAAAGGGAATCTTTTATCATGATTAAGTCTGGATGAGGAGCTGCAAGATATGGTTTAATGCTTGTGGCAGCAATGCTAATGGGAGGACGGTTGTACTAGATGATCTTGCAGGTCATTTCCAACCATACAATTCTATGATTCTATAAAATGAATCATGCTCATTTTTAAAATGCTGTTCTATTGTGATTCTTCTACTAAGAAACACATTTTGAAATGATATGAGTTAAAAGTGAATCATATAAAGCTGCCTGTTTAGATGTTAAGAGTCAGTCAGCTTAGTGTAAGATGTCAGAAGTTCTCAATTGATAGTTAAAACTGTTCTATGCACTTTTTTCCACTCCAACAGTTTTGAGCAGGTAAAATAGAGAGACTCAGCTTTGCTATGGAGTTCAAAAGAAGTGGGGGGCACAGGAAAAGAAACATGTTGATTTAAACTTTAACTTTCTAGAGTTACAAGTGGTCATGATGGATCACCCTATGATGAATCTTTCTAAAGATTCTACACATCTTATTTCTTTCTGATGTCTCAAATCTAGTCAAATTTGTAAGCACACAAGCAATCTGGTACAGATCTAATTACATCTACTGTGTTATAACAATTTTTACCAACTGAAAAGTGAACTACAGAACTGTTGTCTTAAACTTTGATGCATCACTGATTTATTCAGTTAGTTTTACTTCACATTTGATATTAAGTATACAAAACCAGATATATTTTCATAGTTGAAAGTTCTTGGACAGCATGTTCTCTTTGGATCTTATAACCGTCCATAAGGAAAAGTATTCCTCCACGTCTGAAAACAAGCTAAAGAATTGTTATGACTCTAACCAAAAATAAACATGCTTTCACACTCTCTTGAGCACATTTCTAGGCTTGAGCATCTTAGGAACTATACCATAGAGGTAGTAGATACAGCTATAGTTTATCCTAACCAATATCTGTATTGCGGCACTCTTTGCTTGGCTGGATACAAGGGAAATTTAACAACTCTTTTTCTGCTACTGCCGTGGTCTTTTTAAACAATGAAATTAAGAAAAACTGAAATGAAAATCATCCTGCAGAAGCCTGCCAACTCTTGTCACTGTTAGGTTTCATTCACAAAAATCAGGAAATAAATTTTGTTTTGCTGCATTTTAAGAAAAAATAATATTTAGAGATTTTACGATTAACAAAATCTTTCCTCACTAAAACAAAAATGCAACAAAACAAGAGTTTTGGCAGGTTAAAGGAAAAATTCTCAAGGAAACTTAACTGAAATTAAGTTACTAACTCACAATTTTTAATTAAGGGATTTTTTTGAAAGGCGTTGCTGTTCATAAATTTTCTTGCAAGGAAATATGAAATTATACCTGCTTTGTCGATCATTTCTTTAAATATTAGCCTGCTGCCTTTGGCACAGAGGTAGTTAAATTCCTTAACACATCTCAAGTAAACTGGTTTTGATCAAAACAGTTCTTACCTGGCTATGTTCCTTCCTAGCCCCAGGGCTAAACCAATGGCTGTGGGAGAAGAAGAAAAGACAGGTTTAACAATATAACTAACAAAGCACATGCTGTCATATGACCAGCCTGTGCGTGCTTTTGGGTATTTTATTATCTGCCAGGAAAATACAGCCGTTGGCTACGCTTTATTTTAATGGGATATTTTTATTGAACTCTCGGTCTGCTACATTCTGAAAGAATACACTACAAATTTCACTTCTCAGTAGCCACTGGATTTATAGGTAATTATATTTTGTCAGAGAAGGTAAAATAATATAAAAATGATAATATTTTAATATACTATAATGCACGTGCTATAAATAAAAGCAATCTGATATTTAATCCTGAAGTGTTATTTTTTAATGATTATAGCTGGAAAGATTTTTAAGTACTGTGGACTATTTGGTAATTGTTGCTGTATTACCTCACAAACTGAAGTCTGAGTTTGAATATAAAGTGAAATTCAAAGTCAGTAGAATTAGTGGGCTCATCTACATACAGGTACACAATTTTGACTATTGGCAGAGTTACTGCAATTATCTGCAATTATAACTGTTGCACTTTTTCTGAAGTTATTAACTACAATAGTTTATCTCCATTTTTTTCTGCACAGCACACTGGAGCACCTACATAATGATGCTAAAATGTTAAGTTTAACTACCATACTTTGAGAGGAAGCAAAGTCTATGGTACTGTCTGAGCAATGAAGGATGCTCTAAAAGTAATGCCCCTGATTTTATTATGTTGTATCACAACATCAGATACAGATGGTGGTGGTACTGCAGCAGAGGCTGAACCATCCCACAAATATTTTTTATTGCCATGTGACTGATGGCAGTAGAGGGGCACTCTGATACAATGGCAGTTGACATGGAAGTGCATATGAAGTAAAGGTGCATTGCTAAGTTCTTCCATGTGCAAAAAAAGCATTCATCAATGCTTGCTGAACAATGATGAAGACCAAACAGTGTACGTGAGCTCAGTGAGTGGTATGTTTCAGCAGTGGCGACAGCAACAGCAAGTCACCTCCACTGGTGCAGGTATTGATGAGTGCAGCATGCAGGGTTTTGTTTATTACTGGCAAATGTGAAAAGCTAATGACAGTGAAAATGTTGAACACCAATGGATTGTAGCCATGAATTTGTACTACCACATAATGTTATTGTGCTCTCTGAATCTGTTACGTCTGTGGAAATTAATGGGAGGTATTACTTTCAGAGCAACATACATAAATTCTTAAGTCCCAAATCTGAAAGCTCTTTGCTGATGATCAGTCCATCTTCTCATTCCCATATAATAAGGACTTATCATACAATGCCAGTTCTACCTGAAACCTATGTACTGCTAATCCTTTTTCTACTTTCCCAGATAATTAAAGCATAAGTGTGAAATTTATAAAAAAAAAATGAAATGACAGCAAGACACAAGTTTACTTCGAAATATAAATTAGTAGACATTACTATAAGCTGGACAGGAAAAGTGTTAAACAGCTGCACTGAACAATTCAACTTTCAAATGTATGATTTGGAAATTATAGAAAAGTTACCTTATTGTTGTAATCACTCAAAAGAGATTAAGAAAGAATACAACAACTAATGTTGTCAGCTGGACAGAACAGCAGTGCACATTAATTGCACACTGGAGTAGCTAAATAAGCTGAATGACATTCTTTATTTGTGTGTGTGTCCAAACAATTAATGTATTTTCATAAAAAATCATGATAATCTTTTTTCCTCACCTGACACACAACATTTAAGATTCAAGAAAGTGATGTTTTTTTATTTTCAATTATTCAAACGAGGCATTTCTGAAATTTACTTTTGAAAAAAAACACAGCACGTCTTTTTAAACATCCTGTTCCATTTGATATCTATTCTATTTTAGAGCACTAAAGAGTGTTGCTTTTTAGAAGAGCATACTCTTAGCAGGTTAATAAAAATACATTTACAAAGTATTGAACTGCATGTTTCATTAAGAAACATAAAATGAATTACAGAGGATTATAAATGTTACTATTAAATAAATAACATTATGTAGCTGAGCCGAGGTTCCCTTATCACATTTGTACAGTTGCAAAACGTGGCTTTAGGGAAGAGGTACTACTGTAACACAAACAAAAAAAATATTTCTAAGTCCAGTACTGATACTCACTCATGGTGAAGAGAATCCTGGGACAAGTGAATTGTCTTCCTGCTACCACCTGGTCCCGGAGTTATCTATGGTAGAAAAGTGAGAAAAAATATTTTCTTTGAATTATGGAGCAGAATATGAACACAGAGACTGTTTATTAAGGAAGCATATTGCACGTACTGAATGTTGTATCTAGTGTACTGTCTCAATTTTGAAAATGCAATTAGCAATATCTGCATTTTTAAATTAAAAACTGAGTGCAAAAGGTACTGTACAGGGTTTACTAAAATCCAATTCTGATTGGATGTTAGACATTTATAGATATCTGGAGCCCACATTACTTTTTGAAAGTCCGTGAAGTGCTCACTCTGAAAAACTGAAAGTTAGATGGTTAGAAAACCACATTCAACATACAAAAAAAAAAAAAAGAAAAATCTACTCAGCCTTTGAAACCCTGACACACACATCTTGAAACTCAAGTTGATGAAAGAAAAAAAATAAAGAAAATGATTTTTACTAAACTATGTTGTACAGTTTTTGTCTAGCCCTTTACATGCACTGAAATAAAAATGACTTAATAGACTTAAATTAAGAGTAATCATAAGAAATCATGACAGCACAGGTAGAATTTTCCTGTAACATGCAGATGATAATATTCTGGTACTATTCAAATATGCAATCAGCTTTATTTTTATAATCTTCTTAATAGAACTAATTTGTCTGAACACGTAGACAGGCAAAAGAAGAATTAGGGACCACCCAATGAAACTGATGCTTGGAAAAAACAAAGCAAAAGGCAAACAATTCCTGCTGGAGGGAATGCAGGAACTGACTTTTAGTTCATTGGAGTTAGCTCTGCAGTCAGATGTGGGAAAGAAGTCAGACATCGTCAGTTTTGAAAGGAGGCAACAAAATTCACCAATAATATGCTTGTGTGGCTCAGACTTGCCGAAAGAAAATAAGCATAAGGTTCACAAATAAAAACAGCCTATGATTTATTTAAGGAACAATGTGTTCAACTTTTAAAGAAAAACATCTCATCTTATCATAGAGAAAAACCATGGCAGTTGGAGCTCCAAAATCTAGAAAACTTTGAAAGAACACTTACGAAGTAATTTGGAAGCCCCAAGATTTAAGTACTTGACACTACTCTGATTCTTTGACCTTAAAAGTAACAAGGGGCCTAAAAAAGGGACCCCTGAAATTAGTCACTCTTCTGGCTGGTGCTGCTTGAAAAGAAAGTACTGCAGAAAAATCTTCGCGTGCATTAAAAGCCCCAGAGAAAATGAGGGTGACTACATCATTTTACTATCTCAAGGATTCTCTTCAGCACAGAACACACATGCAGAACAGCACACCTAGTCCTTTATTGGCTTTTGCAGTTTACTGTTTTACGAGAGTTACTGAGGCTGTACGTAACCACATGACAGCAGTAAATCAGTGACCAAAGTTCAGACAACTTTTACACTGTTATTCATCTATTAATTGAGAGCAAGAAACACCAGTTCACAAAGACAGACCTAAAAATACGATCAAATACTTAAATATATAATTTCTAAATGTTAAGGTTAATAACTAAGCTGTTACTTTAACAAAATAGGTAAACATGTTGCTCGGCTCTCAAGAGTTACATCCTGCATTAATCTCAAAATGAAGTTTTCATGCTATTCCAGTGGGTACCCCTGGAATATAGTAATCCATTTTCTACACTATGGCTATAAGAAAAGCCGACTGTGCCTATGTCATGCTTTGTTAGAGGTTCATGATCACATTATCTCATGGTGGACCTGACACTTTTATTCAGTTTACAGTATGTTCTGTGTACAGGCAACTTATTTCCTTTGCCAGGGCTGCTGACAACCTTTTCCACACTATATTAATCTTGTTTATAGACTTTATCTTGGTACAAATATCAGAAAACTGAACTTTTTATCTCAGGGAGAAAATAAACAACATGTTGACAGAAGCAAAAGCTATTTTCTGGACTAAAATTGGTTGTTTACCCACAGCCGTACTTATGGAAACAAGTTTAAGTTTCCAGCTTACTCAAAATACATAATCTGGAATTTAATAAGCATTGAAAATCCAAGAAAAAGCACTTGACGGATTTTCAGTTTTAAAATAATATATAAAAGACAAATACATTTTTCCATTAATTTATATGAGCATATGAGCTACCTGAACAGATACAACTGACCACAAAGTCCACCACTTCGGTTTTTCTTACATAACCTAGAAAGCTTCAATTTTACGGAGCACACACACAATATTTAATAAAATTAAAATGAGAATGCATAATTACAGATCTTTGTATAAAACTGAATGGTGATGACTATAATATTCATGATGGGTAACGCAAAGAAATTCATCTTTGCAAAACTGCCATCTAGGGCAAAAAAAGCTATGGCTTATCTTAACCTGCTAAATCACTCTTAGCAAAATCAATTGCAATGTTTATACACAGGGAAACAAACAACCACTTAATTGTTCAGATTCTTTATTCATGTAGAAAAATTGCATAGTTTTCTAGAGTTGGTTTAGAAGTCCTAGTGCACAAAAAGGAGCTGAATTAAGTTCTAGTGTTCCACTGGTAAATGAAAACCAAACAGAATTGAAGGTTTACAAAAGATTTCTTTTTATTTTTTCCCCGCTCATAAAATTGCCTGGACAGCCTGATCTGGTGGATGGCAACCCCGTCCACAGCAGAGGGTTGGAACAGGATGGACTTTTAAGGTCCCTTCAAACCCAAACCATTCTAAGATTCCACAACTTTATTTTTTGCAATACAGTGTATAGAAGGGGTTAGGGCCTGAATGTACACACACACACACACACAGGAATCATAATTACTGTGATGGCAGTAAGTAGATTGACCAGAGTGTTGTTTTAAACTTAAAATTCACCAACAGAATGCTTCTGGTCAATTCTTCTACAGTATTAAAGATCTTCACTCCATGCACAAGACTGTTAGCTTTTAAACACTCATATGTTAAATTAACAGTAAGTATAGAGTATCACAGAGCTGATGCACAATAATCTCTCAAGCTTCTTCCCAGTGTATTGAATAGCCTGCATTTCTCCAAGCCCTATTATAACTGAGCACACTCAAAGGAAATTAGGTAGCTGTAACTAATACAAAAAGTAGAAGTATTTCTATTTCCCTCCAAATAAGAACAGCAGCTTTTAAAAAAGACATAACAAATGACTAGGAATAATGTCTTAAAGAATGAAGGACAAAACTGATTTTCAAAAATACAAAAGAAAAATCACGGGTCTTCACACAGCTCAATTGTGTTGCACAATCTGCATTGTGGCTCAGATGCATAAAGCAGCAAAATATGATGTGTAAAGGGAAAGTAGGACTGACCTACTGGTTCTATTAAGCCTTCATGAAGACATGGTCCATTAGCAGAATACCTAGATCTATGCCAGTTTCTTGCTACTCTATAATTATTTAAAATCAAACTCTTACTAACAAAGCATTGCAAAACTCAATGGATCATTGCCATTACGCTTGTGAAACATAAGCAAATGATCGGAAAGAAAAATCTCAAGAAAAATAAGGCAGAAGACTCGGACTTCAACATTAGTTAACACTTATCTCCCAGTACATCTTACCATTTTTTCTTCATAAAACAAACAAACAAGCTCCCATGCGTCCTAGATAGAATGAGAATCAGAATGTTTCTAGGAGTCAAAGAAAATGTGCAAGTTCACCTATCTCGAGTGAGTTTCACACTCTAAGTTTTCTCTACATTTCTTTTTTACACAACTAATAAAATACATCTCTCTCTATTCATGCTTGGTTTTCAATCGAATGATTAATGGAAAAACAAAAAGAAAGGAGAGATTTAAAAAACAAGTCCAATATTCAACATCATTTCTTCAAAGAAAGGAAATTTAAATCACATACAAAAGCAATAGAGAGAACTTCGTTGTAAACCTACGCTTTATGCTTTTACACAGCTTTTTCTGAGCTGTTTTTTTTTTTTTTTTTTAATATAAGACTTGCATTTGAAATTAACTGATTATAAAATTAAAAAAAAATTAAACTCTTTGAAAGAGTTCACTCCAAAAGCAGCCTGGAGCTCTGCAAAAAGAAGACTGACACTATCAAGGATTAAGAATAGACTTCAGAAGAAAACATAAAATAAACTTTTTTCTTTAATTTAAACCAGCTCGTGGTATGAGACACATATAAGCTTCAGGACTGCATAAACACCATATAGTATCACAATGTCAATTTTATACATTGGGAAAAGAAAAATCTTTAGGATAGCCGCCTGAAAAGTATTAAGTACGACAACAAAACATTGCCAACATTTTTTTAAAAAACATCTAGAATTCAACTAATTATATTTAAATTAAAACAAACTTCCCTTAATAGAAAAAGCTACCACTAAAATGTTGAGGTTCATATTGTGTATAAAAAATATTTATTACATTTTAGCTATCTATAGATAAAACTTATTCTAGGGTGAAGTCATCTTCACTAAGACAACAGGATTTTGACTTCAGTAGTGCAAGGACTTGATCCTTATTAGGTATGAATGATCTAAAATGCTGAAACAATGAGTTTCATGTAAAACTCTTATTAGTTAGTGAAGTTACCTGTATGGTGATATAGAGAGAAGAAAAGAGCAGAGCACAGTGATTAGGACAGTAGCCTCAGCCTGTGAGATTGGATTCAATTCCTCCATATGCTACACGTTTGCTTTTTTGACCTTTGGTTAGTTTTTACTTCAGCTCAGTTCCTCATTTGGGAGAAATAACAAAAGCATATAAACGAAATCTTCCCCTCCTCCCCCCCCCCCAGAAATCTAAATTGTGGTAGTTTCTCCTTACTTCATGGGAGTAATGTAATATAGTGACAGTAAAAATTGTACCAACAAAAGATATTTTAAAAGTGTATTTGCTTTAAGACTGCTTGAAGTACACTACTGAAGGTGATTTTTATTCTTAATATGATAAGACCTATTAGATAAAACAAAAAAGTCAATATTAAACACACACAAACAGAACTACTCATAAGCAGAACCCCTTTCAGGTACAAGTCATGTTATGACAGCTCATGGCAGTATAAGCT